TGCTCTCATTCTTGTCATTGCCTATTCGTTGTCGAATTGTCTTTTGAGGCGGCTAGTACCAAAATAGGACAAGCAACAGCGATATCGTCATCATCGGTTACGTGATTTAAACGTTACACGTTTTCGATCAAAAGTTTTCTGATCTCGCCAAAAGAAAAACGCCGAAAAATGGCGATAGGATAAGTATAATCATAGCATTACGACTAATATAGTGCTTCGCATTCGCGCTTTTTTTCCTTGGCAATGTATGAATAATTGTTATAAAATGTCACGGATATAGAAATTGGAAGGAGCGACGAGTCGTGCCGTCTTCATTCCTTTTCTTCGTTTTCGTGTAGCAGCTTCTTTAAGCAGCTATCTTTTCGGCATCGATCGCTGAAACAATGTTGTCTCAGTAAATCACATGCCATTTTGAATAGATACAAGGGCATAAATTACGAATGTGCAATGTACCTTCTTTGGTGGGCAGAGGATTTTTCTCGAGGGTTTCCGCATGTTTCAATTTCGCTGGATCAAAATTTTCGATACCGGAGATTAATTGTTGCTTCCCCTTTTCTTGCTGAATCGCTGCATAGAAAATCAACAAAAAAAATCTCATTAGAATTTATAATAATCATTTCATAAAATAATTATATTACTTGTAAAGAAATTATTATTTCATTTACTATATTGACATAACTTTATCAACAACAAAAATAGAACGAAATGAAATGATTGCCCATGATTAAAAATCAATCTTTAAAAATAAAAAATTTACAATTTCGTAAGATAAATTTCTATCCGCTTTTAATTCATCTAGTGATTTTGATGGAGTTGAATTATTCTGCATATAAATCAATTTGAAAGCCTGACTTATATATCATACCATCTTTATCGGGTAACGGATTCTTCTCCTGCGTCTCGGTGTGCTTCAGACTTGCGGTGTCAAACTTTTCGATACCGGCGATCAACGTTTGCTGGGTTTTCTCCGCTGCAACGTCTAAAAATAGATAAATCATATTTCAGAGACGATAGATAATTTTATGCAAGCAAAATCGCAATAATCAGAAATAAAGTGTCTCGCTTAACTGACTATAAATTTGCTATATTCAGCTAGCGGCGTAATTCGAACGGATTAGCGAAGAATAAATTCCAAAACTATTTGCGCAATCGATAAACAGTCTGATCAGTCAATGATTGGTACCGTTTGTCGTCCTTTCTTCATAAGGCACGTGCTATTAATATCGCGCGCGTTCAAATGCTCTGCGCATTTTTATAAAGCGAAATTACGTATTACATTTGAACTCAAGTTAAAATCATGAGAATATAGTTTTTGTACTAATTTTTATTTCAAAGTTAATGTACGATTTTTATTAATAAATTACATTTTGGATTTATCCTTCTGTATATCAGATTAACTTCTCGCTACGGTATAATAAAATATCCTAGAATATTATAATATTTGATTTTAGTTTTAAGATTCTATGATTAAGACCTATGATTCCATTACTTTAATCCACATTAGATATTTAAGTCATGAGAAGTCTTGTATTTTGAATAATTTATAACTCGACTTTTTAGTTGAGAAACTATCGATTTCAGATTGCATCAAGGAATCCATATAAGAGTAAACGAATTTAGGAAGACCTGCATAAATATTGTATAAGAGTTATTTTTTTTAATTCTTTTAAATTTTATGTCGTAAGTGTAGCAAGAAATTAACGAAAAAGACAAGCAATGTGATCTCAGAATGCCATCAAAGCCACCAGTAAAATTTTCGAACTCGAAATTTTATTATTAAATTATTCTAAGAGAAAGCTTTGTAGGCGAAAGATTGTTTCCCGAGAAGCAAAAGCGATAGTTGACTTCCCGCTGCCACCGTGAAAAAAGCCCAAGGAAGTACTCCTCGCAGGACTGGAGAATGAAATTCCAGAAATTCCTCCAGTCTTTAATGAGCAATACCTTTGGCGTTAGGCAACACAATCTTCTCTTTCGTGTCTGCGTGCTTCAATTGATCTGCCTTAAAGGTTTCCACACCATGTATCAACTCAGAATGTTGCCGCTCCTGTCGCACGTCTACGTCAGCAATTCACATATTTTTATTGCAGTTATCGTTTTTTTATCAGAGTATCGCACTGGTAAGCTTTGCGCTCAAATCACTTCTCTTGGTTTAATAGTTTGCACAAGTAAATTCAATATTTTCTTTATTTTCTTTACATCCCGCATTTAATATTAAATCTTACTTGCATAGAAACATATTAAATATAAAATTTTAATACTTATGTACTAAAATACTTAAATTAAGAAAGAATTAATTAATAAAGAATAAAGAAAAAAAAAATCAAAAACATACAACATTAATCGTATATCAATTAATTAAATATATTAGTAGTGAAATTAATAGAATGCAAAAATATAAAAATATTAAATTTTAAATAAGTTACAAACATAAATGAAATAATTCGGTTTACATAAATTAATTTCTAGTAAAGTAGCTGAAATATATGGTTGGATATTCACGTACCTTCGGCGGAGGGTAAAACGTTCTTCTCGGCAGTAGCGGCTTTCTTCATGCAGCCATGATTGAAACCTTCTAATTCGCTTTTCAGGTCTAGAGCTACTTTGGGCAGGTCTTTCAATGACGGACTCGACATGACTTATATTTCTTGATCTATAAAACAAAGATAATTGTATAAGCTCAATCCCCTTCGCTCAACAATACAGCTTAAAAAATCAAGGTTCATAATTCTAATTATACCATTTACGAGTTTCTAATTCTTCTAACGATACAGCTAAATATATTTTATTAATTCAGATTATCAATATTTAGATATATATTGTATTTTATATGGATGTGCAATGTACGATAATTTTATTACTTAAAATTTCTTGAAGAATTTGAGGTATCGAACTGTTAAAAAAAGTGTCAATGTGTAAATAATTAAAATGTGTTATAATCTGAAGTACATCTCGAATAAGTGATCGTGTTTTCTTTTTCTTTTAAAATATGTACATACATACGTACATGTATAAACATTTAACAACGCGAAACATAGAAAATAATTCCGTTTGAATTCGTTTTTAATATTTTTTTTCTTTAATTTTTCGTCAGTATGTAACGAACGGTACATATACTTTGCTATATATAATAATGATGTAAAAGGTGTCTGTGCAAGGTGTACGAGCACCTGCTCGTAATCGATTTAACTTCCTGGAAGATAGCGGAATACAGGCGATATCGCACGTGTTATTAAGTACGAGAACTATTTCCACGTAAAGTGCACAAAGAGCATCGCTTAACAAATATGAGTGTATCAGCGAGAGACGACACCGCGCAGTTTCCAATTGTTAGCGTGAACGTGTCGTTTCCTTTGTTAAACCACACCAACAATCCGCGCGTTGACAACAGCGGCTACTATTGAATGCCAACGAAGCTGAAGCCGGGAACGAAGCTATCGACAACGACGTCGGAATGACACGTCGCGTCATGATATAAATACAGCGAAAATGCAACAGTACTTTACTCATACTGAACACAATTGAAATTTCGCAGACTCGATACTTTAGCAGTTTCCTCTTTTTAAATTCAAAAGAATGCGATCAAAGACACAGCATAGATTTCTTTTTTTATTTTGCTTCTTCTGCAATCTTGTTCGTTATCTGTAGTTTGTCTGTAATAACAACAATAACATTTAATCCCGTTAAATAAAAATCAAGAAGTTTTATAAAATAAAAATACAATTAAGAATAAGACACTGTCATAAATTGAGAAAAAAGAGAAAAGTTAAAAATTTAGAAAATTATTACATGAAAAATTTAATTCATCTATGAACTCACGCGATTATCAATCTGCGAATTTATGTATCATACGACGGAAACAGCGGTAGCTTGTTACTTCCGGACTTCGTTTCCTTCTAGCATATTTCCTTGTCACATTTCTCTCATAAGCACAGCAACAACTTCGTCGACGTGAAATTGCATCAATATCAAAGTCACAATCAAAATTATCAAAATAAAAAATACTTGTCAAATAATTGGTGAACATGAGAGATATAAAAATTAAACAATTAAGTTATGATAACAAATAGTAACGCGATTACATGGCAATTAATATATAATACCTTCAATAAAATCTAATGATTTTTCTATGCATTCGTATTAACGAATATTCTCAGAATTATCCCAATCTTTTACTTCACGTTTCACGTGCAAAACATTATGCTACAATTTGATTTCAATTTTCGCAGCTATCATTTGTTATTTACGATAATGATGCATATTACTTGACCAAGAAGAACTCTGAAAATATTTTGCGTTCTACAGGGTAATCCGAAATTCCTGCATTCGTACAGGACACAATAAACGAACAACTTTTTCCTGTAGTAAAATTACAGTCGATAATTAATTTTTGCGTTTACTCATATAACTTCAACCTGCTCTCCTGCAAAAACTACTTATTGAACGCAATTTTGTTAAAGAAAATAGTTGTTTCTTTTAGCATAAAGTATCATGTTCTGTACTCATAAATGCGGGAATTTCGGATCACCCTGTATATTCATATTATTAAACAAACTTTTTTTAAAAAAAGGACAAAAGATTTTTAAGAATATTTCAGATTTTCGACAAATCAACATTATTTTTCTTACATTTTTCATATTAAATTACAAATGATACTTTCGGGAGAAAGGAAATGTCTGGCAATTATCGAATCAGACGCCCCGCTAATAATTGATAGTTGTGGCACGAAATCAACGTCGCAACGTTGTCTGAATGTGTACATACACTTTTGTACCAACATATATATGTATATATATGTACACACATCTTATATCAAATCCAACTGGCGGCGCATTTACGCGCTAAACTGTCAATGACTCATTCCTCGGATGCCCCCTTTGCCCACCCCCTTTTCCCAAATGGGCTTCTCAGCAGCGATTGTGCGCATTCAGGCATACTTAAAACTTTACATGACTCAACGAGAAAAAATGTCAGAAAAGAACGCAATACTAATTACGCTCACGTGGGCGATCAGTGATTGATTTGCGTTTAACTCCTACGTGCTTCTTTCTAATCGTATTATGTTCTGCAATTTATGACGAAATCAATTTTTGTTTCTCTCTGCATCTACATCGCACACGTAAAGATTACATTTCCTGTGTATCTGGAAATAAATCAAATTAATATTTCAATATATTCAATATATTAATTATATTATCTCAAAATAAACCATTAATTATATCGTTGATATACGAAAGAAAATTACTGTTATTATCGTTAATTAAAATATTGAGTATATATATATTTTTTCTGTTGTATATTATTTGTGCCATATAAACTTATTAAATAGCCATTGACGATAACATCGAATTCGCCCATATGAGAGTAAACTTGCAGATTCAAAAGAGAAGCGAAGAGTAAGAAAAGGTTCGCATTCCACGTGGGTGAAGTCACGGAGACATCGGATTACTAACCACATTATCGGTACATGGCATGATTGTGCAACATCATCGACGACAGTGCAAGGTTATCAATTTTGTGCGACTTTTTCTCTACAAAGCTTTTCAAACGGCAATTCTATAAGACAAAATGATTTTGCAGAGCGAGTGACTGAAAAGAAAACGAGATTGCACGGTGATAAATTTGTCGAAGATTTGTGGAAACATTTGAATCTCTAGCAGTAACAGTATTTTCTCAGAGTTATAATGTTTTTAAGTATAA